AGAAAGTATTCCAAAGCTTGATTTCCTTGCGGAGGCTACAAATTAGCCATTGCGATAATCTAATTGGATACGCAGCGGCAAATGCTCCTGACCAGGAAACATCAGGAAGGAGCCGACTTTTGCCCCATCTTGAGTCTCTAGAGATATTGCAGTGTGGAAGTCTGGTAGAGGTCTTCAACTCCCCTGCTCTCAAGAGGATGCAAGTTATAGTATGTTGTAAGCTTGAGTCCCTATACGGCAGGCAACAGTTGAATCAAGAGGCTAGTAGTACCGATGACGTGGCGGCACCCACACCTGTTGAGGAGAAGCTGTCACCATCGGCGGACCCGGATAAGCTCCTTGCATCATCTTTAGAATCTCTAAGAATATGGGGCTGTGATGGGTTGTTAAAGGTTGCCAATCTTCCCTCGTCCCTCAGGCGAATAGATATTCAAAATTGCTCCAAACTACGGTTCATATCAGGCGAGCTGGATGCACTCGAAAGCGTAGCATTTTGGAAGTGCCCAGAGTTGCGGTCACTAGAATCATTATGCATCATAGATCTCTCAGCACTGGAAAACCTCATTCTGTGGCATTGCAAAAGCCTGGCATTCTTTCCCAGTGGGCCAGAACCACAAGACTACTCATCTCTTCGTTGGCTTCCCAGGTATAAAATCGCTCCCTTCGGCTCTGCAGCAGCGACTGGACAGCGGCCTCATGGAAGCTACGTCCGTAGATAATTCCCGTCTCGAAGGTACGCACCAATCTTTCCCGTATATGATTGCATGCATAAATCTTGTGTTTGCATGCCGGCCCTGTCCATTTTTTGTTTGGTGGACACGCCGCCATATATACATGTTTGCCCTGTCATTTCAAATCTCAGCGCTTATTATGTCTATGTGCTAATTTTGACCGAAGCAGTAGATATATGTATTTTTGAAATCTTATTGGATTTCGACGATTCTTTGACATCTATATATCGCTCTTGTGTTCTCCATGGCTGCCTGGGCATCTCTACCTCTCCGCTGCTCGCTTTATCCATTGAGCATTTTCCCCTAGAGTTTTCATATACGCATGGACTCTCTGTTCCGACTTCCCACACCATGAGTTGAATTGTGTGTTTAGAATTGGACCAAATGTATACAGGCTGTTGAGAACTGAAAAGCAGAGTTTGACTGGATTATTGGCATATATATACTCCTATTTTTAAGTTTTATTGGGCGAGCTTTGATGATTTCTTTATATATATAATAATTAGCAGGTCGCTTTCCACGGCTGCTTGGGCGTCTCTGCTCCTCGCTCTTAGGCCACTGACTGACATCCAATGGAGGAGGAGGAGGAGGAGCAACAGCAGCAACTGTGCATGAGCACGGGTTTTCAAGCAATCGCGGGGAAATATACAAGCACGTATATATCGACCGGCCAATCTAGAGGTGGTAGGACGGGTTTTCAATGCAAATGTGCAATAGAGAGAAAATATAAAAGTAGTTAGGGTGATTTGGAAATGGTCCGTGCGGGATTCCTGATGCAAAATTGTATTCTATATTTTAGGAGCGAGATTTTGTAAAATATTAGAGAAATTAAACTTAACAAATGTGCTCCCAACTTTTTTATCTACTTAGAAAACTCATTGATTTACCAATTGCTTTTTAAGGAACTATATTGGAGATGCTCTAACCTCATGCAAAACACGCCGGTGTAAGCTAGTACGTAATACCTTTAGCTCTTGAACTTTATAGATTCATTTCCTATGTACGTTTATATGTCGGTACTTACTTCTAAGATGAACAATTCTCTATTCTAATTATTCCTAGAATTCTTCTAATTAATATGAAACCTTTATAATAACAATACATTAACTTTATATGGCGGTATTATTCGTTCACTAGCGGGCTCTTACTTCACGGGAGCACCCTACCACCATATCATACACTAGCATGTGGCAAGCGTAGGATGCTATCCTTTTATACTATTTTTTACTAATCTTGTATTGAAAATTTCGATGTCTAAATGAGTTTAGATGAAACTAGCTTGAACCACATATCTTGTCGAGCACTGCGACTTTGGTACATAGCAGGTCTTCATCCGAGGTTGTTTGGTTAATCTAAGGATTCAAAACATATACTTGGGACCCTAAAAAAGCTGAACATGTGACCCCAGACGGATGCTTTTGCATTTGCATGGACTCAAAAAGCTGAACATGGATGCCGCAGGCTCAGGCAGGTGAGTCAAGCAACGCATTTTTTTTATGCCTCTTATGGGTACAGCCGTAGCATCTGTTCATACACATGTACGTCTATTCAACACATGCACACAGCTCACATCATCCATGTAGAAACAAATCTATAACTACACATAGATCTGAAGACTGCGTCCTTCTTAAGATCACCGAAATCCACTGATTTCGTAGACGACGGGCACGTCACGATCCCATTATAGTATCACGCGCGAGAAGCAGAAATCCGAGAAAATCCCGAGCAACGGTGAGGCACACGAGTCGTGTCAGGATCCAACCCGGGTGGACTGCTCGCCCGCCGACGCAGCTAGCCAACCGCATATGATTGGAGTAGTAATAAGCGCATGTTTAGTTCCTTGAATTTGGAAATTTAGGTTATCGTAGTATTTTCGTTTATATTTGACAATTAGTGTTCAATCATAGACTAAGTAGGTTCAAAACGTTCGTCTCGCAATTTTCAACCAAACTGTACAATTAGTTTTTTTTCGTCTATATTTAATACTCCATATACGTATCGCAAGATTTGATGTGATAGATACTGTAGTACTTTTTAGGATTTTAGGACACGCTCTAAGAATAAAAATAGAAAATGAGGAGGGACTCATACGGTGGTTTTGGGGGACTTGGGGTGATCGAGCCCACGCGACAGTCCCTTGGCCATCAATCAAAATCGCTGGCCGCGTGGCATGCGCGACTCCTAAGAGATTTTTGTGTCGATAGCAGTCAGCCAAGGCTGCACGTCCCTCCATCAATTGTTTTGATGAACAATTGATAGCAGTCAGTCAAGGGTGGCTGGCTGCCGGCCATGTGACCTTGTCCCCTGGCCCTGGCCCTCCTTTATTGCCGACCATAAAATAGTCAGCGCCTTGTTTAGATTGGGCTATAAATTAGTATTTGGCACTATAACATTTTACAAACTAAACAAGGCCTAAGACCAACAAAGCAGTGGGGCGTAGCCTTCGTTACCTGGGCCTGGTTTAGATTGTAAGTTTTTTCACTCTCTCTCTGTCACATGAAATCTTTAGACATATGCATAGAGTATTAAATATAGATAAAAAAATAATTAATTACATAGTTTGATTGTAAATTACAAGACGAATCTTTTGAGCCTAGTTAAGTCATAATTAGACAATAATTATCAAATACAAACAAAAATGTTATAGTACCAAATATTGATTTATAGCCCAATCTAAACAAGGCGCTGACTATTTTATGGTCGGCAATAAAGGAGGGCCAGGGCCAGGGGACAAGGTCACATGGCCGGCAGCCAGCCACCCTTGACTGACTGGTATCAATTGTTCATCAAAACAATTGATGGAGGGACGTGCAGCCTTGGCTGGGTGCTATGGACACAAAAATCTCTTAGGAGTCGCGCATGCCACGCTGCCAGCGATTTTGATTGATGGCCAAGGGACTGTCGCGTGGGCTCGATCACCCCAAGTCCCCCAAAACCACCGTATGAGTCCCTCCTCATTTTCTATTTTTATTCTTAGCGCGTGTCCTAAAATCCTAAAAAGTACTACAGTATTTACAAAGCAGTGGGGCGTAGCCTTCGTTACCTGGGCCTGGTTTAGATTGCAAGTTTTTTCACTCTCTCTTTGTCATATCAAATCTTTAGACACATGCATAGAGTATTAAATATAGATAAAAAAATAATTAATTATATAGTTTGATTGTAAATTATGAATAGTACTATTTTCGTCTTATTTGGCAAATATTGTCCAATCGTGGACCAACTAGGCTCAAAAGATTCATCTCGTGATTTCCAACTAAACTGTATAATTAGTTATTTTTTTACCTACATTTAATACTCTATACAAGCAGCTAAAAATTAATGTGATGGAGAGAGAGTGAAAAAACTTGGAATTTGGATGGTAAACAAGGCCTTAGCGCTAACCATGTGATGGGGGTACTCGTTTTCCACTCAGGGCGGCTGAAGAAGATGTTTTCTAATCTTTTTTGTTATTTCTAATTGCTGAATGAACATGCTCTCTAATGGCTACCTGTGACTATTATTAGGATACAACAATCAATCAAGATGCTCTGCACCCGCAAAAAAAAATCAAGATGCCCTGCTAAATGTTTACTACGTCAGGTCCAAAAGGATTCCCAGTGTTGAGCTGTTGCGAGCTGGAATGAGAATAAAAAAAATCAAGATGTCCTGCCGACGGGCTAAAGCCCCTTTGGTACGGCTTATTTAAAATAGCTTTACCGGCGAAGCCAAAGCCGGTGAAGCCAGAAAAACTGATTTTTTTGGCTTCTAGTTCATTTTAATCTTAATTTATAAAACAGCTTTACGCTACAGTGCCTCGATTCGTGCAAAATAGATGGAGTTGAAACCGGCATAAACCGTGTTAAAGAGACCCTGAATGTTTACTATTACTCCGTCGGGTCCAAAAGATTCCCAGTGCTGAGCAGTTGCGAGCTGGAAGATGCCCTGCACCCGAGAATAAAAAAATCAAGATGCCCTGCCGACGGGCTGAGCTAAATATTTACTATTACTCCATTTGGTCAAAAAAAATTCCCAGTGCTGAGCCGTTGCGAGCTGGAATGATATTTTCCGATTTTCCGTGGACTATGCTTACCGTATGGCAAGTTGGCAACCCAGATCTACCAGATCCACTTGGCCACTTGGCCCCAAGCTAGGATGTCGAGATGCAAGGAACCCCTTTATTTTCCTCAAAAGTGGCCGGGCGCTTCCCCAGACTACCATTCCTTCTCCGCTCAGCCATTGTGTTCTCCTTTGTGCTCTGAGCGTGCGTTCTCGGGAGATCTGAGTGCTCCAATGGCTGAACTAGCGGCCAGCCTGGTTGTTGGGCCGCTGGTGTCCCTGCTGAAGGACAAGGTGTCCAGCTACCTCCTGGACCAGTACAACGTGATGGAGGGCATGGAGAAGCAGCACAAGATCCTCAAGCGCAAGTTGCCTGCCATCCTCGACGTCATGGCTGATGCCGAGAAGCAGGCGTCTCGCCGAGGAGGAGTAAAGGCATGGCTTGAGGAGCTCAAGACGGTGGCGTACGAGGCGAACGACGTCTTTGACGAGTTCGAGTACGAGGCGCTCCGCCGCCGAGCCAAGAAGAATGGGCACATCACCAAGCTCGGCATGGCTGGAGTAAAACTCTTCCCTACTCACAACCGTGTCGCATTCCGTAGCAGGATGGGAAACAAGCTTGACAGCATTGTTGAGGCCATCAAGGTCCTTGTGGAGGAAATGAAAGATTTTGGATTCGACAAGCTTCAGCCTGAGGCACCAGCATGGAAGGAGTGGCGTCAGACACATTCCATTATCGTCGACCCCGAAAAAATTGTTAGCAGATCTAGAGACAAGGAGAGGGAGAAAATTATTGAGGTGTTGCTCAGCCATCAAGCTAGCAGTGGTGATCTCTTAGTTCTTCCCATCGTTGGAATGGGAGGATTGGGCAAGACCACCCTCGCTCAACTCATCTACAACGACCCTCAGGTCAAGGAGCATTTCCAGGTACTAAAGTGGGTGTGTGCCTCAGATGATTTCAATGTCTGCAATCTTGCCAACAAGATATGTAATAAGTCAGAGTCAATCCTGGAGGAGGCACTCAACAAGCTTAAGGAACATCTTAGAGGAAAGAGGTATTCTTGCTAGAGCTTATTATTGCTAACTCAATTCTCACCTTCTATCATGCTTTTATGTTTTATTTATTCTTCCTAAACACTCAGTACGTCATGTCATGTACTGTGTACCCCTATGTAATATTTAGATTACATAAGTTTGTGCCTGGGTTGTAAAATAAAGTAGACAGGTCTAATTATCTCAGTCATGTTTTTTTTTGGCATAGTCCCATAAAAGTACAGCATGGTTCCAAAATAGCTGGGCATAGTCACATGTAAGAAATATTTACTACTGTGTTCTACCACTATGCAATCCCATAAAAGTACAGCATGGTTCCAAAATGGAAGCTTAAATTATTGACCAAGAACATTATATAGCCACCCCACCCCACGCACATCCAAACATGACATTAGCTCTAACTAATTTTTTTCTAGAGGTCTGCAGTCTATATAACAACTTCCATTGCAACATAGGCTCTATGCTTGATTTAGGGCCATGCACAAAGAAAGGTACTAACAGAAAAAATGTTCCTAACAGGTATCTTCTTGTATTGGATGATGTATGGAATAAGGATGTTGACAAATGGGGAAAGTTGAAGGCATGTCTTAATCAAGGTGGTGTCGGTAGTGCCATATTGACGACGACTCGTGATAAAGAAATAGCTGAATTCATGGGTACAGTAGCTAACAACTCATCATGGAAAAATAAATACCATGATGTGGCAATTTTGGACATAGAATTCATACATGAAATTATTGAAACAAGAGCTTTCGGTTTACAGAAGACTAAGCCAGAGGAGCTAGTTAAGTTGGTTGGCCCGATTGCAGAGAGATGTGTTGGATCTCCATTGGCAGCCAAAGCATTGGGGTCTGTATTGTGTAACAAGACCACTAAGGAAGAATGGGAGGACATATTAAATCGAAGCAGGATATGCGATGACGAGACCGGGATTTTACCTATACTCAAGCTCAGCTATAATGACTTGCCAACTGACATGAAGCAATGCTTTGCCTTTTGTGCTATGTATCCAAAGGATTATCAAATTGATGTTGAAGAGCTTATCCAACTATGGATGGCCAATGGTTATATCTCAGATCAAAACAAGGTACCTGCTGAAACCATGGGTAAACGGATTGTCAATGAGATGGTTTCAAGGTCATTCTTCCAGTATGAGGAGCAAAGAAGGATTGGGTATAGTTCTACAACTTTTGTGAAGATCCATGACCTCATGCATGATGTTGCACTTTCTGCTTCAGAGAAGGAGTGTGTTTGTATAATTGACGAATTCATTCAAAGCGGTGAGATGGTTCCTAGTGCTGCTCGGCATATACAATTTCAAAGAAGCACAAACAAAAAGGAATTAAACTTTTTACTTGGTTCTACGAAGGAGAAGTTTCCACCTATACAAACAATGATGTTTCAAAATATATTTTATCACCCTGAAGATCTGCTGCATTCATCAAAATTTAGTTCTCTCCGAGCACTTTCTATGCCAGTATCAGGGGTTCATTTGTCAATAAAACCAAAGCACTTGTGCCACCTTAGGTACCTTGATCTCTCATATAATTATGGCATCGAAGCACTTCCAGATGATCTAAGCATCCTATATAGTCTCCAGACACTAAAACTTTCTAAGTGCAGCAGTCTCAAAAGACTTCCTGAGCAAATGAAGCACATGAGTAGCCTTCGTCATCTCTACACAGATGGGTGCACGATGCTGGAGTGCATGCCTCCAGAGCTTGGACGAATCACCTTGCTTCGAACAATTACATGGTTTGTAGTGGGAAGTGGCTTGAATTGTAGCAGTCTTGGAGAGCTAAAGGATTTAAATATTGGTGGTTCATTAATGCTAAAGCAGCTCGAAAATGTGACAGTGAGAAGAAATGCAAAAGCAGCCAACCTTGAGAATAAGAAGGATCTGAGACAACTGTCACTAGAGTGGACAAGTGGTAAGGAGGATGAACAACAATGTCATGAGGTGCTACAGAGTCTCGAAGCTCATGATGGGCTGCTGGCTCTAGAAATAAATTCCTACCAAGGCACCAGTTTCCCATCATGGATGGGTATGTTGAAAAACATGGTTGAGCTTCGGTTATCTAATTGTAGTAAAGCGGATCAGCTTCCTGAATTGGAACAGCTAGCAGAACTACAAGTCCTTCATTTGAAAGGATTGGGAAAATTGCAATTCCTGTGTAGCAGCTGTACATCCTCCACATTTGGAAAGCTTAAGGATCTTAAGCTAGTTAATCTTGAGGTTTTTGATAGATTTTGGGAGGCAACACATGGAGGCACCGTAGCATTTCCTCAGCTTGAGATATTGCACATTGAAGGCTGTAAAAATTTGGCAGCATTACCAGAAGCTTCGGTGCTCAGAGAACAGTATGGTGGTGGAGCTTATACAGTGGCCCGCTATGCTTTTCCAGAACTGAAGAAGCTCAGTTTGGAAGATTTATATAGCTTTGAGAGATGGGAGGCTGCCCTTGAAATTGAAGAAGAACATGCACTGTTCCCGTTGCTTGAGATTCTTGTTATCGAGAAATGCCCAAAGTTAACAACTCTGCCTAGGGCACCAAAGGTCAAAAAACTAGTTTTGAGGGAAGTAAATCAACAGATTTCTCTAGGAGGAATCAGAAATATGACGTCACTGTCCAGTTTGTCTTTGAAGGGCGTCAAGCTGGATGATAAGGAGGAATGGGACCATCCGTCGTCTGTGGTAGATATGGAACTATACAGCTGCAGTTTGTTCTTCCAACCACGTGCACTAGCACTGTGGGTTTGCTACGGGCAGCTGCAGTATCTGACAATAGGTAACTGCGATGAGCTTGTGTACTGGCCGGAGAAAGTATTCCAAAGCTTGATTTCCTTGCGGAGGCTACGGATTTGGAGCTGTGATAATTTAATTGGATACGCAGCGGAAAATGCTCCTGAGCAGGCAACATCAGGAAGGAGCCAACTTTTGCCCCATCTAGAGTCTCTGAAAATATCTTGGTGTGGAAGTCTGGTAGAGGTCTTCAACTCCCCTGCTCTCAAGACGATGCGTGTTGAAGGATGTTGTAAGCTTGAGTCCCTATACGGCAGGCAACAGTTGAATCAAGAGGCTAGTAGTACCCATGACGTGGCAGCATCCACACCTGTTGAGGAGAAGCTGTCACCATCGGCGGACCCGGATAAGCTCCTTCCATCATCTTTAGAATCTCTAACAATATGGCACTGTCACGGGTTGTTAGAGGTTGCCAATCTTCCCTCGTCCCTCAGGGAAATAGATATTCAAAATTGCTCCAAACTACGGTTCATATCAGGCCAGCTGGATGCACTCAAAAAGCTGCAAATTTGCAAGTGCCCAGAGTTGCGATCACTAGAATCATTATGCATCACAGATCTCTCAGCACTGGAAGTCCTCGATCTGGACAATTGCAAAAGCCTAGCATCCTTGCCCAGTGGGCCAGAACCACAAGAATACTCATGTCTTCGTCGGCTTACAATTTGGGGGTGCCCAGGTATAAAATCGCTCCCTTCGGCTCTGCAGCAGCGACTGGACAGCGGCCTGGTGCGTGCTAAGTATCTAGATTCTCATCATAAAGGTACGCACCAATCTTTCCCGTATATGGTTGCATACTTGCATGCATAAATCTTGTGTTTGCATGTCTGCCCCTGTCCATTTTTTGTTTGGTGGACACACCGCCATATATACATGTTTACCCTGTCATTTCAAATCTCAGCGCTTTCTACGTGCTAATTTTGATCGAAGCAGCAGATATATGTATTTTTAAAATCTTATTGGATTTCGACGATTCTTTGACATATATATATCGCTCTTGTGTTCTCCATGGCTGCCTGGACATCTCTACCTTTCTGCTGCTCGCTTTATCCTTTGAGCATTTTTCTCTAGAGTTTTCATATACGCATGGACTCTCTGTTCCCACTTCACACACCATGAGTTGAATTGTGTGTTTAGAATTGGACCAAATATATACAGGCTGTTGACAACTGAAAAGCAGAGTCTGACCGGATTATTAGCATATTATATATATATACACTCCTATTTGAAGTTTTATTGGGCGAGCTTTGATGATTTCTTTATATATATAATTAATTAACAGGTCGCTCTCCACGGCTGCTTGGGCGTCTCTGCTCCTCGCTTTAGTTTCTCTGCGACTTGGTCGGTCTTGGGTGAAGAGTGAAGGCCACACCCCAAATGTCGCCTTCTCCACTGACACGCACCTTCCTCATCTGCAAGGCCAAAAGCAAGAACGAGAAGCGACGCAGGACAAGAATATGCTGTGTATCATATCATACATGCATAGATTATTCGTTGGCTATTCTTTGTGTGTGTCAAGGAATTATTATTATTATTACTATTATATCGATAGATGCCGTCTTTTTTACTGTCAGAGTGAGAGTGAGAGTGAGATCGAGAACATAGAGTTCCAAAACAGTAGAGATTTATTTAGGCAGAATTATCTATTTAGCACTGAAACAAATCAGTCTATCATATTTAGTACTCAAAATTTTGAACTTTCTTATCTAGCACTAAAGTTGAAATTTTCTTCCTTAAATGGCACTTCGGTCTATTTTCACCGGTAATAATGTTAAGTGGCTTGCAAAATGACATAAATGTCCTTGTTTGTAGTAGAAGTCTATGGTGCTAAATAGAAAAAGAATAAATAGAAAGTTTGTCAAATAAGAAAATCATAAATATTACAAAGCCGTTGCGCTACGTGGCCATCACACCGGGGAGCCACAGACGCAGGGCGCCGCGCGCGCGCGCGTGCCGGTCGATGCTGGCGAGAAGTAGGCGGGCGCGTGCGCTCCAGTCCAGCTGCCCCTGCTGCGGCCCTGCCCAGGCGCGCGCGGAGGTGCATGCATACAGGGCTCGTGGATCGCTTTTTGGAACGGAGGCGCCGCATACGTAGAGGCGCCAGGCACCAGGCATCATTAGCCTGGACCGGGAGAATTGTAGAAAATGGGGTTCAAAAGCGGTACACGAATCGGCCGTGTTAGACTCGGTCGCCTGGGACTGGGACTCCTGCGTCATGGGATGCATCAAAGGCTCGCTATCATTACCCGAACAGCACCGACCCAAGACCGAAATTTTCTTCGGCCGGTGAAGCCTGTTGCGCAAGATCGTGGCTACGGACAAATTCGACGCCGGCTGTTCTTGATCGTTTCGTAAACTGGAATTGAGCAGCGTGTTGTGTTGTGTGTTCGGGTGTTCATACTCAAGAGTTCGTTAGGTTGTGGAGGACCCACGACTGCATGCAGGAGCTCGGCATATACATGCTCTTCTTCGACAGAGCCGGGTACGGTGACAGCGACGCCAACCCGAAGCGCAGTCTCAAGAGCGACGCCATGGACGTCGAGGAGCTCGCCGACGCGCTGCAGCTCGGGGACAAGTTCTACGTGGTAGGGTGCTCCATGGGCGGCTACCCAGCGTGCAGGATAGCAGCTATTGCAGCTTGCACACCACCATCTCCGTTCATGTGAATAGGTGATCGATCAATGTCGACGACGCTCGCTGCGGCGCCGCTAGGGAATTCGGAAAAGGGGATCGAGGTCCGCCAGACAGGCTGTCGACCGATAGTGTGATTAGGTTTTGTCTTTTATAGAGTTGTTGGTTGATTCTCTTCCTCTCTTCCTTCCACTCTTCTACTACTCACTGCTGGGCTTGGGCTCACAGATATTACAAACCCATTCTGGGCCGGTCACTCTCTTGTTCTTGGGCCTAGTGCGAATACTCCTCTTGGGCTCAGCATTCACTGGGTGTGGCGTCGTGACACCCCCCCTCCCCTTGCGACCCGGCATGTCCCCAGGCCGGAGCAAAAGGAAAACATTGTCGTATGGCCTCTGCATCTTCCCAGGTAGCAAGTTCTGGAGCCAGACCGGACCACTTGATCAGGAGTTGAACAACCGCACCTGTACGACGGAAATGGAGACGGCGCTACAGCACTGCCTCAGGAACTTGCAAGCCTTCTTTAGATTCTGGAGGATCCACCGAGAGAGGAAACTTGGTCGACGGGGCAGCTTTGAGTAGAGATACGTGGAATACCGGATGAACAGAAGATGAGTCTGGCAGGTCCAGCTTGTAAGCGACAGCTCCAATCTTTTCCAGCACCTTTATGGCCCAAAGTAACCGAAGGAGAGCTTCTGATGAGCACGAGGAGCAAGCGACGCCTGGACGTACGGTTGTAGCTTGAGGAACACCATGTCGCCGATGTTGAAAGATCTCTCTGAGCGGTGCTTGTCAGCATACAACTTCATGCGATGTTGAGCTCAGAGAAGATGTTGGCGAACCAAATCAAGCATAGTGGAACGCTCAGTAAGCATGGACTCAACATCAGGAACAGATGATGCTTCTGGAGGAGAAAGGCCGAAGTGGCGAGGAGAGTGTCCGTACAGTACCTCGAATGGCGACCTGTTGAGAGAAGAATGGAGACTGGTGTTATACCAATACTCCGCCAAGCTGATCCAACGCAGCCACTGCTTGGGACAGGAATGAACAAAGCACCGGAGAAATGCTTCGAGGCACTGGTTCACCCGCTCTGTCTGGCCATCGGATTGAGGGTGGTAGGCAGAGCTCATGCAGAGCTGCGTACCTGCCAAGCGGAACAGCTCCTTCCAGAAATGGCTGGTGAAGATGCGGTCGCGGTCGGAGATAATGTGGGTTGGCTTGCCATGTAAGCGGTAGATATTGTCCAGGAAGATCAGAGCCACTTGTGGAGCGGAGAATGGGTGAAGTAGAGGCACGAAGTGGGGCAAATTTGCTGAACTTGTCGACAACGACCATGATGCAGTTAGGTGCACCCAAGCATGGAAGCCCCTCGATGAAATCCATGGAGATGACTTGCCAGGACTCTGCTGGTACAGGCAGCGGAGAAAGGAGTCCTGGGTACTTGGCATGATCAGGCTTAGCCTGTAAGCAGGTTGTACAAGAAGCAGCCAGCTGTTTGATGTCAGACTTCATACCCCTCCAAGCGAACAGCTTCTTGATTCGGCTGTAGGTGACAGGGAATCCAGAATGGCCACCGATAGCGCTGGAATGCAAGGCTTCAAAAATTCTCAGCTGGAGGGTCTTGTTGTCACCCACCCAAATGCGATCTCCAATGTGAATAATACCATTGATCAGAGAGTAAGGCGGATGGGAATCACAGTTAAGGGCCAGATCCTGCAATAGCTTGCAAGAGGTAGGATCAGAATCATAGCCAGCAACCACATCTGTCAACCATGTCGGGGAGGAAGAAGAAATGGCATTGAGCTGATCTGGAGGCAAAGGGTGCCGGGAGAGAGCATCCGCTGCCAAATTGGAAGCCCCTGGTTTATAAACGACCTTGAACTGCAACCCCACAAGCTTGGTGTAAAGCTTCATCTGCCATGGAGTCTGCAAGCACTACTCAGTAATATGCATCAGGCTTCGTTGGTCAGTGAAAATAGTGAACTCACCATGTTGTAAGTAGGATCTCCAATGGTCCACTGCCACAAGAATAGCTAGGTATTCCTTCTCGTAAGTAGATAAGCCGCGCGAATGAGGACCAAGCGACTTACTAACAAAGGCCAAGGGGTGACCATCTTGAAGGAGGACTGCCCCGATGCCGGCATCACTTGCATCAGTCTACAGCTAGAAAGGCTTGGAAAATCGAGCAGGGCCAGAACTGGAGCTTCAGTGAGAGCCTGCTTTAGAGTGTCAAAGGCGAGAGCATGGTTGGCAGTCCAGATAAAGAGCACCCCTTCTTGAGCAGTTTAGTCAAAGGACGAGCAATCACCGCATAGTGCTTAACGAACTTCCGATAATACCATGTGAGTCCGAGGAAGTTGCGGAGCTGCTTGACATCAGATGGTGGTGGCCAGGCTTGCACAGCGGCAACCTTTGATGGATCCGTGGAAACTCCGTGTGCACTGACGACATGACCCAAGTAGTTGATGGATTGCTGAGCAAAGCGGCACTTGGACAATTTAATCAGCCACTGGTCCCTGGAAAGCAATTCAAAAACTTGAGCCAGGTGCTTAACATGGTCTTCATAAGAGGCGCTATACACAAGGATGTCATCGAAAAACACCAAGGCAAACTTGCGAAGGAGTGGATGTAAGGTATTGTTCATAGCACCTTGGAACGAATTTGGGGCTCCAGTTAAGCCGAAGGACATGACAGTATACTCAAACTGGCCCCAATGTGTTTGGAAAGCAGTCTTGTGTTCTTCCCCAGGTGCAAGGCGGATCTGGTTGAAACCGGCCCATAGATCCAAACAAGAAAACCAACTGGCCCCAGATAGTTCATCCAAAAGTTCATCAATGATCGGAATGGGAAACTTGCTCTTCACAGTGAGTGCGTTGAGTTGGCGGTAATCGACGCAAAAACACCAATTGTTGTCCTTCTTCCTGACCAAGAGAACTAGAGAAGAGAAGGCGCTGGTACTAGGGCGAATGAAGCCAGACTGCAGCATCTCTGTCACCTGAGTCTCTATCTCTGTCTTCAAGGCCGGCGAGTAGCGATAAGGGTGGGCAGAACAGGCTAAGCCCCTGGAATGAGGGGAATAGAGTGATCACAGGTCCGACGCGGAGGCAGCTCGGTTGGCACCCTGAATAATTGTTGATACTGAGATAACAACGCCTGAATCTCCGGCAGATCACTGTGCACTGATGGAGTAAATGCATCCCCTTCAGCGGACAAATGATGGAGCTGAACTACTAAACAATCAAGCTGCTCCGAGAGACTGCCATGTAACACCACAGTGTGTGGACCATAAGGAATCTGAACCCAACGTTGAAGCCAATGAACCTTCATGGGAGAGAATGCCTGTAACCAATCCATTCCCAGAATCATGTCATATGTGCCAATGGGAATGAGCTTGAGAGTAGAATGGAAAACATATCCTTGAATAGACCACTCTGCATACGGAATTTGAGCAGTGGAAGGTACTGATCCGCCATCGGCAATCTTCACAGATGTGGGAACTGACAACTGCTGGATCCCCTTAAAAGAAGGTGCCAAGTTGGTATCCAAAAACGAGTTGGTGCTCCCAGAATCTAACAAGATGTTGATACTCTTGCCTTGGAGCATGCCTTGAAATTGCAGAGTTCTAGGGTGGAATGATGGAGAAACAGCAGCAGCAGACATGAGCATGAAGGACTGATCTGCCAAAACAGGAGTATTGGGCTCTGAACTTTCTGTCTCGGTGAACAGATCTTCACAAAGGTTCCACACCTCCTATAATGCGTGCAATTGGATAGCCGGAGAGCATTTGTGGCCTTGGTGCCATTTCTTTCCACAGCGCATACAGAGGCCTCGGGCTTTCCTGTAAGAATGGAGTAAGTGCAACTTGTGATCCACGGAAACGCGGTGGAAATCAGGACGATGGTCTTTAGGATTGTGCTTCGGTTCTGGCTACACGGGAGGAGCAGGAAGAGCTAGTTGTTGTGGAGGAGCAGGAAGCGGCAATGACCCCCGAGGTGCCACTGGCTTCAGGAATGCAGGAGCATCAGTACGCCGGAACTCCCGTCGGCTCGACGGCTCGACGGCCTCCTCCTGCAAAAGGGCAAGCGAACAAGCAGCATCGAGATCGGTGGGACGCTGAACAAGAACAACAGAATGGATATCATCGCGGAGACCATCGATGAAGCGTGTGGTATAGGAGAGGGTATCTGGGTTAGGTGTGTAAGCCGAGAGCTGCTCAATAAGATCAACAAATTGATCAACGTATTCTTGAACCGAAGCGGTTTGCTTAATGTGGAATAGTTGGCGGATGAGAAGTTCGTGTTGATCACGGCAGAAGCGCTCACGCACCAAAGCACAGAAGTCCTGCCAACCAATGTGTTCAAGGCGGTGAGCAATGGATTGAATCCGGCGCTTGGCTGCATCGGTGAATTGCATCGTAGCAACGCGAACCCACATTGATTGATCAACGAAGTACATATCAAAGTAGGAATGGGCCTGAGTGATCCATAGTTGGGGGGTGGTGCCATCGAGTTGGGGGAAATGCATTTTGGGTAATTGGCCGAGGTGGGAGGATTGGGGGTGGATTTGGGAAGGATCTGGTGGTTGGGGAGGAAGGTGGGCATCCGTGACATTGAAGGTAGGGTTGGGAGTGGGAGGAGGATGGGGATATGGAGCGGAATGAGGAGGGGGATCGGGAAAATGGCGCATATCATTGGCCGGGGTCGGAGCTATGGTTGTGACCAACCCATAGCCCCTCTCCCGTGTAGTCGATTCGACACGGTGCCCGCTGGGTCAGTCGGTCGGAGTCTCGGCAGATGAGCACGCGGCGACCAACTCCGGCTGCCGCAGGGTGCCCGATGTGGGCAGCTCCACTGCAGCCCGACCTCCACTCGACCGGAGATTCTTCACCTCCAAGTGAAGATCGTCGATCAAGCCGTCCACCTCCGGGCGCCAACTAACGAGCTCCTCCACGGCGGTCTCGACGGCGGCTACCCTGTCATCGCGCTCGTCGTTGATCTCATGGATGCGGATCAGCTCGAGATCCACCATCCGCTGCTCGAGGTCAAAGACTCACTCGTCAAAGTGTCCTCCCCAGTTGTCGGCGACGACGACGGCGGTGTACTGTGCCGAGGCATACTCCTCCAACGACTTGATGCGATGGTCCACTGCCTCGTCCCGCTCTTGGAGCTCAGATGTCGCCTCCTCAAAGTGGCGCTCCCACCGCTCCCATCGACCGCTGGAATCGGTGCGGAGGTCGTCGATCCGCTTGAGGAGTTCGTCGAAGAGCGAGCACACATTGGGATCCATGACTCCCCTGGCGCGTTGGAGACGGGTGAAGTGGTGGTGTGGCTCCGGTGGATCTAGCCCTTGGAAGCGCCGGCTCGAAGGCTCTGGCACCAGTGTCGGCGACGCTCACTGCGGCGCCGCCGGGGAATTTGGAAAAGGGGATCGAGGTCCGTCGGACAGGCTGTCGACCGATAGCGTGATTAGGTTTTGTTTTTATAGAGTTGTTGGTTGATTCTCTTCCTCTCTTCCTTCCACTCTTCTACTACTCACTGCTGGGCTTGGGCTCATAGATATTACAAACCCATTCTGGGCCAGGCACTCTCTTGTTCTAGGGCCTAGTGCGAATACTGCTCTTGGGCTCAGCATTCACTGGGTGTGGCGTCGTGACAATCAACTTGTATGCTCTGATTGTGTGGCTCGGTCGTTGCAGGCTGGCCGGAGTGGCTCTGGCCACGCCGGCGGTGAACTACTGGTGGCCACTGCCTGCTAACGTGTCGAGGACCGCGTACGGGAAGCTCCACGTCCAGGACCGTAGGACCTTCTGGATCGTGCACCACGCGCCGTCGCTGCTCCACGCCTGGCTCGCGCAGAAGTCCTTGAGCGCCTCCAGCGTGTGGGCCGAGAACTGCAGCATGCGCTCAGCGGTGGCGGGCAGCCTCTCGATGCGCCCCGTGAGGTCGGGGATCGGGAGCACGACTGGCAGCGTTGGCGTCGTCAGGCCATCGGGGGACCAGCGCTCTAGCAAGGGTGGCGGAGCTAGAGCGTGCTTGTACTCCTCCGGCCCCGAGGCCGAGGGGGAGGCAGAGAGGCTGTCGTGCTTCAGCCTCTCGATGAAAGTGATGTAATTCATCTCGAAATGTAGTTTCATAAAATTATATATTAACTATATTTTATAAATTCTTTATATCAAAAAGTAATGGTCAAAATTGTTTTTTTTGGAGATCGCGTCGCTGTTCAAAATGGCATCCTTTAGGAAACGGGAGGGAGTATTTATTTGCACTCTCACAAAATCTCATATTTTAGTTTACAAGTATATTTGTAATATTTATGATTTTCTTATTTGACAAACATTCCATTTATTCTTTTCCTATTTGGCACCATGGACTTCTACTACAAACAAGAGCAATTATGTCATTTTGCAAGCCACTTAACATCGTTACCGGTGAAAATAGACGGAAGTGTCATTTACGGAAGGAAATTTCAACTTGGTGCTAGATAAAAAAGTTCAAAATTTTGAGTGCTAAATATGAAAGACTGATTTGTTTCGGTGCGAAATAGATAATTCTTCCATTTATGCATCGTAGATCTCTCAGCACTGGAAGTCCTCGATCTGTACGATTGCATAAGCCTGGCATCCTTGCCCAGTGGGCCAGAACCACAAGAATACTCATCTCTTCATGTGCTTACAATTAGGGAGTGCCCAGGTATAAAATCGCTCCCTTCAGCTCTGCAGCAGCGACTGGACAGCGGCCTGGTGCGTGTTATGTATCTAAATTCTCGTCTTGAAGGTACGCACCAATCTTTCCCATATGGTGCATGCATAAATCTCGTGTTTGCATGTCTGCCCCTGTCCATTTTTTGTTTGGTGGACAGGCCGCCATATATATATGTTTGCCCTGTCATTTCAAATCTCAGCGCTTTCTACGTGCTAATTTTGACCGAAGCAGCAGATATATGTATTTTTGAAATCTTATTGGATTTCGATGATTCTTTGACATACATATATATATATATATATATATATATATATATATATATATATATATATATATATATATATATCGCTCTTGTGTTCTCCATGGCTGCCTGGGCATCTCTACCTCGCTGCTGCTCGCTTTATCCTTTGAGCATTTTTCCCTAGAGTTTTCATATACGCATGGACTCTCTGTTCCCACTTCCCACACCATGAGTTGAATTATGTGTTTAGAATTGGACCAAATGTATACAGGCTGTTGACAACTGAAAACCAGAGTTTGACTGGATTATTGGCATATATATACTCCTATTTTGAAGTTTTATTGGGCGAGCTTTGATGATTTCTTTATATATATAATAATTAACAGGTCGCTTTCCACGGCTGCTTGGGCGTCTCTGCTCCAATGGAGGACTTGGTCGGTCTTGGGTTTAGGGTTTAAGGCCACACCCCAAATGTCGCCTTCTCCACTGACTGACATCCAATGGAGGAGGAGCAACAGCAGCAACTCGTCACCAGCGATGAATCCAGCAGCAGGACACGCACACGCTGAAGCTGAACCTCCCTCATCTGAAAGGCCAAAAGCAAGAACGAGAAGCGACGCAGGACAAGAATATGCTGTGTATCATATCATACATGCATAGATTATTCGTTGGCTATTCTTTGTGTGTGTCAAGGAATTATTACTATATTACTATTAGAGTTAAGTGCACCATAGGTCCATTAACTTGTGAGGAGGTTTCAATTAGATCATCAACTTTCAAAGTGGCTTTTTGGGTCTATAAACTTTGTATGCCGTATCACTTAGGTCCATATCCCGCCACGCAGGCTTCTCATGCTGATGTGGCCTGCTGACATGTCCTTCTGAAGCCGCTCTTGGCAATGCATTTTGTCAGCTTGTGGGTGACGACGACAACGTCCCCGGCGCGCCGAGCAGAGCGACCCCGACAGCGCGTTGCCGCTCACGTCGACATGGGCGAGTCGCGGGAGGAGCCCGACGCCTCCAGCAGGTCGATCAGTGGCGCCACGTCTGCGTTGGGCATTGGCATTGGCATGGTGTTCGTCCTGTTCACGCATGGTTCACCGCGGCCAGGGCACGTGGCTGTGGATGGCGCTGGGCGTGCTGTCCCGCGACGCCGCCAACTTCCCGGACCCCGGCGCGTTCCGGCTGGAGCGGTTCGACACGGCGAGCGAGGAGCAGCGCGGGCGGCACCCGTGCGCGCACATCCCCTTCGGCATCGGCCCGCGGGCGTGCGTGGGGCAGCGGTTCGCGCTGCAGGAGGTGAAGCTGTCCATGGTGCACCTGTACCGGCGTTTCCTCTTCCGGCGGTCGCCACGGATGGAGTCGCCACCGGAGCTCCAGTTCGGGATCGTGCTCCAGTTCGGGATCGCGCTGCAGGAGGTGCAAATGGAAGCTTAAGTTCGCGCCCGTCGTCCTACTCCTATACATGACGCTGCGTTGTCATGTCACATGCCTGATCAAGGTAGGGGAACCGGTGCTGCAGGTCGTCGGCGGTCGGCACGGCGCCGCGCGGCCCGAAGCCGTCGACCTCCGCCAGCAGCCTGGCCTCGACCTCCGGGTGGCCGGCGACGAGGTACACTGCGGACGAGAGCGTGAACGCCGTGGTGGCCAACCCGGCGAGGAGGTGCTCGTAGGTGAGCGCGCTGACGTGGTCCGGCGTGAGCAGCTCCCGCAGCGCCGCGCTGCGCTCCCGGGCGTCGAGCACCGCTGACAGGAAGTCCTTCCTCCCTTCGCCGTGGTGGCCGCCGCGCCCGCATTGCGCCCAGCCTCAGCAGGGGTCCGGCACCGCGTCGGCGTGCCCGTGTCCTCGCTGGGAGGGTTCGACACGTGCTTCAACACCACCGCCGTGGCGTGGCCGCCCATGACGCTGCTGTTCGACGGCATGCAGGTGACGCTGCCGGAGGAGAACGTGGTTATCCATAGCACGTACGGGACCATCAGCTGCCTGGCCATGGCCGCGGCGCCCGACGGAGCTCCAGCTCGTGGAGGTCCGGTCGCGGCCTCGACGCCCGCCCTCCCCGCGTAGCTGCTCGACGCCATGGAGCTCCGGCTGCGGCCGCTGGACGCCGTGGAGGTCCGGTCGCGGCCTCGACCTGCGCGGTGCTAGGATGCTGTCGGTGCTTCTGCTGCTGGTGGTCGCGGGCGGCGCGGCCGCGTCGCACTCGAGCTCGAGCTCGTCGTGCCCCGCGACGCCGCCGGCCTCGTCCCCACCATGCAGCACTGCATCGAGCGCGCCGCGGACGCAATACTGGCGGCGGGGGTTCAGGAGAACGGCGACGTCGACTTCTCCGACCTCTCGCTCAAGCTGGCCACGGACATCATCGGGCAGGAGGCGTTCGGCGTGGATTTCGGCCTCACGGCGAGCGGTCCCGGCGGCGAGGCCGTGGAGTTCATCAGGGAGCACGTCCACTCCACGACCTCCCTGAAGATGGACCTGTCCGCGCCGCTCTCCGTCGCGCTCGGCCTCGTCGCGCCCGCGCTGCAGGGCCCGGTACGGCGGCTGCTGAGCCGTGTCCCGGGGACGGCCGACTGGAGGGTCGCGCGGACCAACGCGCGGCTCCGCACGCGGGTGGACGAGATCGTGGCGGCAACGCGCTGTTAGGCTCGCTGCTCGGCGTGCCGGGGACGCTGTCGTCGTCGTCCACAAGCTGTTTGACAAAATGCATTGCCAATAGCTACTTCAGAAAGACATGTCAGCAGGCCACGTCAGCATGAGAAGACCGCGTGGCGGGATATGGACCTAAGTGATACGGCATATAAAGTTTATGAACCCAAAAAGCCACTTTAAAAGTTGATGGACTTAACCGAAACCTCCTCACAAGTTAATGGACCTTTGGTACATTTAACTCTTACTATTATATCGATAGATGCCGTCTTTTTTTACTGTCAGAGTGAGAGTGAGAGTGAGATCGAGAACATAGAGTTCCAAAACAGGAGAGATTTATTTATGTAGCGCCATTTATTTATAATCAGATTTATTGGTGCCTTATTATTGCTTATATAAATAATCTGCATGAAAACAGCATCTCCGATTCTATTGTTTTGATGCACTTGTTGCAAAATCTTAAATATATCATAGGATAACTTCTGGCAGAACACGTGGAGTAAGCCTAGTAGTCCTTTACCTCTTCCTGCTACTGGAAAACCGGAATTTTCTTCTCGGTGATTCGTTTCCTATGTAGGATATATTTTAACTTTGGGAAATGCTTGTTTTCGAACGCGCAGGCGATGAAGCTTCGGCGTGCACACCTCGATGGCCGTCCGATTCTCCCAAACGGCCGTTCCATTCGCTCCCGGCTGCCGCACAGACGCTCTCTTCTCCCTCGCCTACGCCCGCGCGCCGCACCATCTCACAGGAAAAGAAGCGCTGCACCAACTCGCTAGAGAAGAAGCGTCGCCGCCGGAGGCCGTGCTGCCCACACGCACGCCACGCCACGCGCCCGCCCGCGCCTTCTCCAACTCCGGTGGCGCCTAGGGTTCCGGCGAGCCACGCCGCCCCTTCTTCTCCAACTCCGGCGGGTATAGAAGGGGCCCGACCGGGGGAGGAAGGCCGGCCAGGCGGTGGGGATGGCTGGCAGGCGGTTTTAGGGGAGCTGGCGGGGGCCGGGCCAGGTCAGGGCGGGGGCGCCATGGCCGGACTTCGGTGGAGCTCGCCGGAGTTCGCCATAGCCGCATGCGGGAGGGCGGGGGAGGGGGAGGGGGAAGAAGGCGGTCGCCGCGGGCACGCTAGGGCTTCGCCGGAGCTCCCCGGCCGCGGCCGCGGCCGCGGAGCTCGGGCGAAGCCCTAGCGTGCCACGGCTGTGGGAGGCGGGCCGCGAGGCGGTGGGAGATGGGGGAGGTGGAGGCGTCGTCTGGAATCAGAACCCTCGCGCGGCCAGCGGCAGGGAAGGAGGCACCGGGGAGAGAGAAGAGGGTGGGGCCGTGGGGGCAGGGGGAAGAAGAAGAATAGGCGTGCGGGTGCAGCCGTGCGGGCGGTTCGGTCTCCGCATGCGCACGCTCCGTTTAGTAAAGTCCTTTAACTTTATATGTTGGTGCTTTCTTCTAATTTGAATTACTCTATTCTAGTTATTCCCAAGACTGTTGTATTAATTTGGTTTATGTAAATAAATACTATCATGCGCCGGCGCAGACACCCTCCTCGCCACAGCGGATTTGGCGACATCTCATCTTCACACAAATCAACTTGTGACTATGAACTTTTATAACAAAATGAAACTTCAAGTAAAGCAAATTAAATAGTACTGTATTCACTAATGGGCTCTTACTTCACGAGAGCACCCTACCATTGTATCATACACTAACATGTGACACTGTAGCATGCTATCCTTTCATATTATTTGTTACGTATCTTGTGTTCAAAATTTCAGTGTCTAAACGGTACGATTTCGAATGAAACTAGCTTGAACTACAAAGCTTCAAATGCCGTTAAGCAGTATAACTTTCATATAAGGCCGGTGTCCATCCAAGGCCGTTCTGAAAAAAAATAAAAAATTTGAATTAATCTAAGAATTCAAAACGGCAAATACTTGGGACCCTGTCTAAACTATTTCGAATAAAAAGGTCATAAACTACAAAGCAACGTAGATCTCTTGGAGGTGTACAACTTTGATCCATGTAAAATTCGTCTTCATCCATCTTCATTTGAACATATTATGATTATTTGTTTTGCATCTATTTTTGGAGATAGATGACATTACCAACCAGCTCTAGAAATTTAATTTAGGTCCCGTTGTTTCATGCTCCTAAAAATAGTCGGCAATTTTGTAAAGCTGCTAGTTCAGGTCAGGCCACAGCGTCAGGTGAGTTGAGCTGCCAAGCGCTCCGCCATAGTCCGCCGGTGACCGGCCCCGGCGTCCACCAGCCCAGCTCGCTGGCGCCGCTCCGGTGCCGGCCTCCCGCCTCCTCCGCTACCGCCTAACCGTCTCCACTAACCTCCGCTTGCCATATATGGAGCCTAGTTCGCCCTCCTGTCGCTCCAGGTCCGCCTCGCCGTCGCAGCTTCCGCCGCTCGCCCCTGCTGCACAGGAGGAGTTTGCCGTGCGTCTTGCACGCCTTTTCGCGTCACCGGGCCTGAATCCGAATGCGGAGTCGTTCCTCGGCTCCCAGTCCCCTGTTGTTTCGGGCCGTCCCTACATGTCGCAGTGCATCAACTCGAACGCGGAGCCTTTCTTCGACTCCCGGTCGGCGCCTCGTTCTGGCCGGAGTCCTGGGGGCCGGCTGCCTCTCCTTTAGTGATTTGGAGGCCTCGTCGGAGGCCTCTGAGCCTCCTTCTTCGAGGGCGGATGCGAAGGGCAAGAGCGTCGTCGACTATGAGAAGAAGCGCCGCCATCGTCATTGTCGTGCGGCGCGCCGGCGGGCTTCATGGAGGCCGCAAGGGGTGCGCACGCCGCGGCGCCTCTGAATCAGCCGGCGCGGCACATTGCCTCCATCGTGGTCCATCCGGCGAGGCTGTTGGCTCGGCCGGATGCGGACCGCTTTCGTCAGGTCTAGAGCCGGCGTCGTTGGCGCCGCTGTGAGCTGGCTAGGGTTCCTCGGCCGGTGTCGTCCAACCTTGTGGGGCTCTGCTTCAACTATCTCGCCAATGATCATGCCAAGGCGAACTGTACAGTGCTGGCCAGATGCTTTCACTACAAGTGCGAGGGCCACCAGGTGCGGCATTGTCCCATCCCATGGCGCCGCATCGGCTGCAGCGGGACGCGAAGCGTGGTCGCTCCCCATCGCGTGCGTTTGGTGGCCAGTGTGCAGCCCCTCGGCGGAGAACCTCGCCTCGACAGCAACCGGCACCCGACGACGACACTACGTCCGGTCGCTCTGTCTCCACCGGGCGTTCCCCCTCGGTGCCACGGTGTTGTGCGCCGCCCTCCCTGGGCTAGGGTGCCGCGCCACACTGCCCCGACGAGCAATGCTGCTCCACAGGTTCCGCCTTCCCCAGGCTAGGGTCGCCTGAGATGGTCGGCCCACACCTGTTCCAGGCGTTCGGGGTACCGGCGGACCGCGTCTCTGTTCGCCGCCACACACCTGAGGACTTCATCGTGTGATTTCAGTGTCGGGAGGACATGGAGCTCATGTTGGGCACGCCTGTGCCGGGTGCGCCTTTTCCCCTCATTTGGAAACGGTGGCGGAGGACCTCCATGGCGTCCGCGCGCTCTTTCAGATTTTGAGTTCTTGTTGGGATGATGGGAATTCCCTCTCATGCCCGATCGGCCAGCGTCACGCAGACCGTCCTCGGCTCGTCGTGCGCACAGGTTGAGATCGCTCCGCCAGAGGCCGTTGATGAGGATGATCGTGAGCCGTTCGTCGCTTGCTGGTGCGTGCATCCGAGGCTGATTCCGGATGAAAAGATAATCCGCATCCCGGAGCCCCAAGTCTACGTCCATGAGGGGCCGTTGTACCTTCGTGCATAGGAGGTAATCCATGCGGAGTTGCCGGCGCTGACGTATCTAGTTCGTCTGCGCATTGTCGAGTTCCAGGATTGGACAACCCGCTCAGCTCGCCGGATGACGATGGCTGGGTGGTCGTGATGATGACGATGATAGCAGTGATAGCAGCTGAGCAAAATTCACCGCCGGTCCCTTAACTTGGCTCAAGGTGTCATTAAGGTTCCGAAACTTCTAAAGTGGTATTTGTGGATCCCTAAACTTGACAGAGGGTGTTATCTAGGTCCGTAAACTTTCAAAGCGATCATCGCAGGTCCTTAAACTTGGCCAACGGTGCCATCCCGGTCCTTAAACTTTTAAGGTGATCACCGTAGATCCCTAAACTTGATAGGCGGTGTCATTCGGGCCCTTGAACTTTCAAGGTAATCACCGCAGGTCCTTAAACTTGGCCGGCGGTGTCATCCTGGTCTAAATGTGGTCTAACCTACTCTATAAGCTGGCGTGGCACGCTGACGGTACGTTAGACGTGGATCCGACATGTGTCAATTAATCAATCATTATTTATATAATATTTATCATGAAATAAGAAATTTTATAAAATAATTTACATCAGCAAAAATTAAATAAATTAAAATAATTTACAACAACAAATATATTAGGTCTAAACTAAAATAGAAAAATACTAAAATTAATTTAATATTTATGTATCATTAATAATATTAAAATAATATTAAAAATTACTTATAGTATTAAAAGTTTTCTCTATTAAAAGTTACTTCTAATTTATTATTATTTTAAAAGTTTTAATAGTAGTATTATAGAATTAACTTTTCTCTATTATTAATACTATAATACTATTACATTATTATTAAAACTTTTAATACTATAATACAATTATTAAAAGTTCTAATACTATAATACTACTATTAAAAGTAGTATAGTATTATAGTATTAGAATTTTTAATAATAGTATTATAATATTTACTATACTACTTTTAATAGTAATATTATAGTATTAGAACTTTTAATAATAGTATTATTAATAGTAGTATAATATCATACTATAATACTATACTACTTTTAATTGTAGTATCATAGTATTAGAACTTTTAATACTATAGGTAACTTTTAATATTAATTTAATACTATTAATGATACATAAATATTAAATTAATTTTAGTATTTTCTATTTTAGTTTAAACCTAATATATTTGTTGTTGTAAAT